AAATATCGCATATCCCCGTCACATTTTTGCCACACCAACATCCCATTTTTGTCTCAAGGAAATATGGTCAAAAGTCATACAAAAATTTAGGTAGATGTAGAAGGGGGGGGGCGTATTTCGCCACAGTCGTACTACGAATATGTCTCCAATGAGGTCATCTTATGCATCAAATTTTGGTCTTTCAACACGTTGTCATAAAAGTCTCACAATCCATGACAAAGTTTGTTTTTTTAATAACCACAATTTCAAACAGGGATCTTCAAACCATTTTTGCAATGTAAAAGGGCATTTTTCTTGAAAACGGGACAAAATTGACATTTACTATGTATACTCATGTATAAATCTAGGAATTCAGGTTGAAAAATTGTCCCAAAAAACTGAGTCGACTTATCCATGGGTCAATGTAAGTATTGTACATTAACTCAGTCACACACACATATATATCCATCCCCTGGTGAAAGATAAGCTGAATCTGCCCTGGAAACATTGGCCCCCTTCTACTCTCTCATCCATCCAACATTTAATATAAGAACAGATAGTTATGCCTGCTGGAATTTTGTAATTCTTAGGCATTGTTTCCCTTTACTTCAATATTTACATCCTTCATTATATGACCTTAAGTTTTACCCTCGACGTATCCACGGGTTGTATCAAAATCCATAATTTTGGCCCCAAAACCTGCCCTCGCCTTATACATGAGGTTAACTTATAGTCAAGTATATACGGTCTATTAGAATGACAGGATGCTCAGGACATATGAAAAAAAGAACAGTACTGTCCCATTTAGAATGGTACTAGGTTCAGCCTAGCCTTCGTAATTTCTTATTGTGACCCTAAGGTAAACCTATCATAGGGATTTCTTGGCACATTTCTTCAGAAGGGGTTTGCCACTGCCATCCTCTGAAAGCTGAGTGTGTGTGATTTGCCCACGGTCAAACAGTGGGTTTCCACGGCCAGAATTCGAACCCTGGTCTGTAGAATCCTAGTCCAATGCTCAAACCACTACACCACCTTATGCATATGGAGAACCCTAAAAGGATGCCAGCCTTGGAAATGCCTCAGTTTGAAGAAGGCTGCTGTAGAGTATTGTGCACCCCTAATCTTCTCTTTTCCATCTTTCCAAGAGCCTGCTTTTGTGTCACCATATGATTTCTAGATCCACCAACCCTCCACAAACGTTTCAAGATGTTCCCGACATGTTAACCAGCCAGTTGAGATTTTTAATCTTTTTATTTTTATTTTTAAAAACCCCAGAATATGGGAGAAGGACGGGTATCCTCTGGGATATACTGAAGCAGTCATCCAAAAGGGGTACAGCATTTGTTGCCAGATGACTTATGTAATTAGGGTATGAAGCCAAGCATTAAAGCAGCAGGCAATTTGCGTGACATCACACAGAATGAAAAAGCAAAATTTATACAGACAGTAGTGCATTTAACTTTCAGCCCTACAAACACAATTGTTTTGACAAGAGAAACTAAGCAGATGATCCTGATCTACCCTCCGTAGTACACACACTTTTTTTTTTGTCTTGGAGGAGGAACAGGAATGGCTATTGAGGCATTTATATATCCAAAAACATATTGAAATGTACACTGTTATTCAAAATCCACAAAACAGGGATACCTTTATGGGGCCAACCAAAATGTACATTATAAGTGTTGCAAGTTTTCAAAGCTCCATTGCCTTCTTCATAAGGCAAAAGAGAAAGAGTCAGCTTTGCATTTGGTTCAGATGTTGTGGTTGTTGTCCTCAGTTCAGATGGTATGGAAGGGTATTCATGCAGGTGGGCCTCTCTTCCTTCTCGCCATGGGGGTGTTGTTGTTGTTGTGTGCCTTCAAGTCGTTTCCAACTTACGGCAACCCTAAGGCAAACCTATAATGGGTTTTTCTTGGAAAGATTTGTTCAAAAGTTTGTCATTGCCTTCTCCTGGGGCTGAGAGTGTGTGATTTGCCAAGGGTCACCCAGTGGGTTTCCAGCC